AGAGAGAGAGAGAGAGAGAGAGAGAGAGAGAGAGAGAGAGAGAAATAGAGAAATAGAGAAATACAGTAGGTAGGTAGGGAGAGAAATAGAGATAGAGAAATACAGTAGGTAGGAAGAGAGACAGAGTAGGTAGGTTGGTAGGTAGAGGGATAGAGAGAGAAAAAAATATAGTAGGTATTTAGGGAGAGAGAGAGAGTAGGTAGGTAGGGAGAGAAATAGAGATAGAGAAATACAGTAGGTAGGAAGAGAGACAGAGTAGGTAGGTTGGTAGGTAGAGGGATAGAGAGAGAAAAAAATATAGTAGGTATTTAGGGAGAGAGAGAGAGTAGGTAGGTAGGTAAATGTTTCCAGGTGTATTCATGTGCTGGAGAAGGAAATCGGTGACAATTTGCAGCACCTAAGACTTTGTTTCTGCTGGCACAGCACTTGATCAATGTGATTCTCATCGATCAGTTAAAGAGCTTTCCAAAAGAAAAGTATTTGCACGCTGCAAACCTCCCCAAAATGGTCTGTTTTTGCAAAAACAGGCCTGCTATTTTTTTTAAAAAAAGGCATGAATAGCCGTGGGGGTGGGGCTTGCAGAGTGCTGCTGGAGGCTGGGGGGGCAAAAAAGGTTTGGTTTTTTTGCTCATTTCTGCCCTTCCCAGCCCCCAGGAACTCTATGAAAGCCTCCATAAAGGTATGCACGGGCATTTTGGTGAAGGGGGCGGGGCTTCGGGAGGCAAAAAATGCTGTATTTGATGTATGTCGCATCCAGATTTTCAGCCTCTTTTTTGAGGAAAAAAGGTGCGTCTTATACTTTGAAAAATATGGTACTCCTCTTGAAATGTGGAAAGAAATTCATATTTATTATTTTCCTACATTGTTCTGTTGGTAACTGCTTGCTCTTCTGCAGTTTAGGTTCATTTCTTTTAAACAGTTATATGGAATAATGAATAAAAATATTCTAAAACATGTATCTTTGTGGAAATCCAATATAAATTTGTACTATTTTTCTGCACTAGGTCAGGAAGACGTAAAAGTACAGCTGCTTTTTTGATATTTGCGGGCCTTGCTTGCATTTTAACCATGTCCTTACCAGAAAATAACAGGAGTAAGTATGTTCTTTCTGAAGCAAACCAAATTTTCCTTGGCACAGATATTGAAAGACAAGTGCTCCTAGTATGCTAATAACAAGCCAGGTTCAAATAATTTTTAAAATAAACTTAAAATAAATTAAAACCAAATCTAGAATAGCTTTTTCAAATGAATAAGATTATAGCTAAATAAAGACATGCCCAGTTTTAATTTAATGAGGGTCAGTGTGTAGAGCTATTAATGGTACTTTGAGAGGCTGCTACACAGAATCAGTGTGAAATAGTAATACTTCTTTATTAGTCTTGTATACTGCTAAGCCATGAATAGTTTTTTTTTTCTTTAACCATTGGCAATCTTTGAAGTATCCTGCAGTTCATTTGCTTTCTTCTTTTCCAAGATACCAGATAATTAGTAAGAATCTCAGGGAAAATGATCATATTTGCCATGAGCTTCACTATACCTGTGGTGGCGAACCTATGGCACTCATGCCCAAAGTGGCACGTGGGACCATGTCGCCTGGCACATGCGGTGTTGCCCATTCCTCTTCAGGGTTTCTGGCCCACATGCGCTCGTGACGATCAGCTGGTCTTAGTGCATGCAGCAGTGCCGGAAACTGGAAAAGCTGGTCTTCCATTTTCCGGCATGAGCATGTGCATCAACCAGCTGATCTTCGTGCACGCAAACATGCCAGTAACTGGAAGACAAGCATGCGCTGGAAACTGGAAGTTCATTTTTGGGCACTCACATGCCCCTGAGCAGCTCCTCTTCTGGGTTGCGGGCCAGATGAGCGTGCACATGCTATCACTGAACTATAGCATTGGAGAAAGTATCCAGATGACATGTAGGCGTTTTCCTTGCCCCTAGCCAAGCACCCTGATGACCACCAGTAAGGGTGTCATTTAAAATTGGAGTTGTTTTCCCTTTGTGCTAATTACAGGTTGCTCTGCACCAAAGGTATGTTGTTGTTGTTGTTGTTNTTCTGTGGGCACGAGTGGGACGGGCTTGTCACAGCTCCTCAGATAACCTGGGCCGATGGCATGTAGGGCTTTAAAAGTAACCATCAACACCTGAATGAAGTTAAGCAAAACAAAAACAAATATATAAAATGAAATGAAATAAAATAAAAGACTTCTTCATGTCGTCATCACAATTTAGGTTTTTTTAAGCTTTCTTATGCCAATAGTAGCCAAAAAGAACTTAGCAACTCTCTTTGTAGTAGCAGGGATACTGCCCAAGAATTACCCTTCCTGAAAACTTGATCTTTACTAGGAGATAGTATAGGTAATATGTGCTTGTTGATTTGTGTAATCAACATAGTAACTGAATGTTATCGTTATTAGTAGAATGATAGTAGTTATCATTCATAAAAATAATAAAACAGAAAAGTAACAATCAACACCTGAATTAAGTTAAGCAAAACAAAAAGAAAAATATATAAAATGAAATAAAATAAAATAAAAGATAGTATAGGTAATATGTGCTTGTTGATTTGTGTAATCAACATAGTAACTGAATGTTATCATTATTAGTAGAATGATAGTAGTTATCATTCATAAAAATAATAAAACAGAAAAGTAACAATCAACACCTGAATTAAGTTAAGCAAAACAAAAACAAATATATAAAATAAAATAAAATAAAATAAAAGATGTCTTCATGTCATCATCACAATTTAAGTTACTTTAAGCTTTCTTATGCCAATAGTAGCCAATAAGAACTTAGCAATTCTCTTTGTAGTAGCAGGGATACTATCCAAGAATTACCCCTTCCTGAAAACTTGATCTTTACTAGGAGATAGTATAGGTAATATGTGCTGGTTGATTTGTGTAATCAACATAGTAACTGAATGTTATTGTTATTAGTAGAATGATAGTAGCTATCATTCATAAAAATAATAAAACAGTAAAAGTAACAATCAACACCTGAATGAAGTTAAGCAAAACAAAAACAAATATATAAAATGAAATAAAATAAAAGACTTCTTCATGTCGTCATCACAATTTAGGTTACTTTAAGCTTCCTTATGCCAATAGTAGCCAATAAGAACTTAGCGACTCTCTTTGTAGTAGCGGGGATCCTGTCCAAGAATAGAAAATAAACCATTACCCCTTCCTGAAAACTTGATCTTTACTAGGAGATAGTATAGGTAACATGTGCTTGTTGATTTGTGTAATCAACATAGTAACTGAATGTTATTGTTATTATTAGAATGATAGTAGTTACCATTCATAAAAATAATAGAAGAACCCAGTATAAAATACAGAAAGTATTCCCCTTATGACCCTAATTGGGACTTGAATTTCCATTGTTAAGCTTTAGATGGTGGAGCACAGAGCAGCAGGAGTAGCAACGAGTTCAGAGTGGCTGATATAATTGGGACGCAGTATGGCAAGATTGGCAGGAAAGTGAGAGAGAGCAGCAGGTGTGGCCACAGCATGTCGGGCCTAAGCCCAAAGATGCCACAGTGAGATCCAATTGAGTTCATTTCTTCATGGGATCTGATCTTCCAGTTTAAGCTTGAAAGAGTAAAGTTATAAGCTTCTAACCTAATGGATGCATAATAGATGGGAGATTCTACGGTGAGCCTATCCTGAAACTTTTCCTCCCCTTACCATCAAAAACAGGACTACACAGCCTCTGGTCTTGGGCTCGCTCTGGAATATGCTGCCTCCTCCCTGGGAAACGACAGGGCTACTGCCAGTGCCAACTACTTCCTTCAACTCCCGCTACAGGGAATACAGGGCAGTAGTGTGCAAGGCAACCTAAAGGGCATAGGTGTGTGTGGGGGTAGGTGAGTGGGAGGAAGTTTAAGCTCACCTGTGATCATAAATGTGGGAGGTCTGCCAAATGCCCAGTTTTGATCATGTGACCACGAGAACAGTGCAGCAGCCATAACATTAAGACCAGGCTTAAATACAGAGGTGGGTTCCTACCGGTTCGCACCAGTTCGGTAGAACCGGTTCATCAAATCTACCGAATCGGTTAGAAGAGGTTCCACCAGTGGACCCGGAAAGCAGGCCACACCTACAGAAGAGATTCAAAAAAAATTTGAAACCTACCACTGCTTAAATATCATTTGTTCAGTGCCATCATAATTTGGTTTGCTGAACAAATGATTATTAAGGAAGGACTGGCTGTATTTAAGCCTAGAGGGAAAAGTTTCAGAATGAAGAAGTAGAAATATTTTTCCCTTGCTCAAGTTGAATTGCTAATTTATTAATTTATTAATTTTTTGCTGTTTTCACAGGACATTGTAACAAATGTTTCTCCAAGGATAATACGTGGAGCTACCACAGGTCCCATGTATGGTCCCGGTCAAGGTTCCTTCTTGAACATTGAGCTCATAAGTGAGAAAACAGCAGCTTATTGGTGCAGGAGTATTTCTGAATTGAAGTCAGACTTCCCTGACAAAGTAAGTCAGAATGAAATTCACGTTTCAAGTAGAGACGATCAATACATTTTTTTCAGAAAATTGGAAGTTGTTTGAAAAACAATTGCTACTATGGGGTTTATATATTCATTCACTTTTCTGATAATCAAGCCTTTCGGTATTTTCTGTTTTTAAAAACCTGCAAATATATTTACTTTAGTTTAGTTTAGTTTAGTTTAGTTTAGTTTAGTTTAGTTTAGTTTAGTTTAGTTTAGTTTAGTTTAGTTTA